AGAGAGAGAGAGAGAGAGAGAGAGAGAGAGAGAGAGAGAGAGAGAGAGCACAATTACTCAAATGCATGGAACACCTGCGCTAGCTAGGCATACAATTTCACAGATTACACACGGCGCGTTCGAGATTGGACATGGGCGGAGCGGTCAGCCATTTATTGCCCTTCGAGAGCCAGCCTGATGCTGAGATCTTCCCATCGTCTCTGCCCCCAGATCGTTGCGACAAGCACGCTTTCACTCAAACCTTGGGCCTCGCTTCTACTACTCACCAGATGCACAAACGACAAAAAATATGGCTATTGGCGTGTATTCTCGCATGTTCTAGCGGAACATTCATTCTCATCTGCACACAAAAGGACAAAGTCGTCATATGCGACGATACCCAACTGAGTTAAGTCAATTGACTTCTTGTTGTTTCTCGTTCTCTTAACACAGTGATGCGATGCTGCCATATCTTTCGCGTGTATTCACGTGTTGCGTCTCACGTGACCGAGTGCGAATACTGAATGCTCTCTGACAGATTAGATCCCTTCCACACTATGTACGGCAATCAAGCATAAGTTTAGTGACCAACCGAAATACACTTCTGCATGCCGTTTGGCTAAAAATAGATCACGTCTACGTAGTACCCCTACACCACACCAACACCCCCGATTCCATCACCTTCCCGACATCATTTCCACGTACCCCTACACCACACCAACCCCCTACACTCATGAGTCCACAACCTCCGGCCCGATTTCCTCTCCCACTATATTGCCAATGGGTACTCACGGCCGCCGTCTCTGTGATGCCATACCCTCGGTTGGCAAGTATTGCGAGCTGTGCTACTCTCAGGACATACGCTACTCACCTTATGCAGCGCTCCCCGTTCGGACTACCGAGCGCCATAGCCTGCCAGTAGCAAATGCGGTCCTTCTCTATTCTCTGTCCATGAGCCACAGATATCCAACCTCACTAGGACATCCTGTGCAGCTGTGAGAAGCCGATCGGCGGACACAGGCTCTCTTCAGCCTAACACTGCGATCCTCAGTAGTCTCGCTCATTGAGACACTGGCACTGGACATGGCAGCCATGGATGAATTCCTTGCTGAAGTTGATGCTGATGAGCAAATGGTACGTTCGCTCCCGAACCTACCTTCAACCGCTGTCCTACCACCACTCCTCCAGTTCTCTCACACACTACCTTGGGAGCCAGAGGATCTTCACCCTCTGATGAGCCGTGACTGGCGCAAGGGGCAAAAAGCGCTTTAGGGGATGCGCCACCCCCCCACCTCCACTGGCTATAATACCAGTGTTTGATGGTTGTAACCATCATCCCTCCCCCCTCTATCTCACATCTATATCTGTTCTATTGCAGCTTTCTAACCGTTGCATGCAGGGATTGCGGTGCTAATTTATGTCATCAGTGCGAGTGAGACATAGGGATGGTGCATGAAGTAGATTCCCGTACTTCGGGTTGCTATGGCTGCTAATGCACTTCACGCACGCACACACACACACACACACGCTTGTACCCCACATGGCACTTGAGTCAAAGAATGGTTAAGACTCCCCAAAACGTCTTTCTGCATGAATCTATTATCTATGCACCACCAATCTAAATCCCTGCTTGATACTAATGCTCCTCGTGATAGTTTGCTCCAGCACAACTCCAGATAGGTAGGTGTAATAACAATCAATCAACATTGTCCGCATGAATGCCGAGTTGGGGAAGCAACTCACTTGCATCTCACTTGCATCAGAACACGCCGAACTTCTCGGGGAGTCGGGGGTATAATCGCCCACCGACCTTCTCGGGGAGCCGGGGGTATAATCGCCTATGGGCTCCACGCGTGCTGTGTGGGAAGAACACTCTCCATGCATACGAACACGTGCACAAGGCATTACTTTCCATACGTTACGACGGTTACGGCGGTTACGCAAGTGTATTCCCGACGGTTTGAACCTCTTTACCCCAATGGCACGCCCAGTCATTAACGCCGTATCTAGACTGACCGTTGCACCAAATACAGGCATAATGACTGTGCATTGTATTCAAGAGAAGATGGCAGTGTAAACCTTGGGGGTTCGAACTCCTGACTCCTCAGTCAAGTTGCAAATTTATAGCTCTCTTGTCTGCAGTCATAGACCAAGAAGAGACCCTGGCATTAACCGCCAGGCCACTGGTGCCATCATGGTGCCAGGTTAGCATGTAGCTGACCACTTCTACAGTCTGGTTCATTCTTACTTAGCAGTTGCACAGCACCCGCATGACCTCGCTCTCGTACTCGCTTGGTGGTCTACATTGCCGTCACTGAAAAAAATCAGCCTGTGGGTTGTTGGTCTTGTTGCAGCCAATAGCCTAGGTACCATTCCT